TAGAATCGCGATTCATATATGAATAGATTTTTACGTGCACCTCTAGTTTTCTCTTCCTCTTCTCTAAAGCAGCACAACATGGCCCCGCCCCCTTCGTTGCATGTTCCCGGGGGCGGGGCCATGTTGCACTGCTTTAGAGAAGAGGAAGAGAAAACTAGGTGCACGTAAAAATCTATTCATATATGAATCGTGATTCTGTCTTCTAACGATTCTAATGGATTCACAAGTTTCAAAATCAATGTTCTAAAGCAGCGGTTCTTAATACTGTTCCTCGCGTCCCCTGCTCTGCACACACTCTGCATCTCTCTCTCTCTCTCTCTCTCTCATTCAGCTCAGCTCAGCTCAGCTCCAACAATGAACTGTTCCATTTATACACTTATTTTCACATAGCTATGAGATGTTATACATGGTTGCGTGCGGTTGCCGTACTGTATTAAAGCTTTAATCAGGATAAAAACGTATATTAAAAGCTAATAGAAGCAGTAGCATTTACAAATAACAACATATCTAAAAGTATGAGACAACAACAAACAAAAAACATACCATTAAGAGCCGTGCTTGCACAGGTTCTGCACGATCCTCTTCAATAATATCCTCTGCGTCTCATTCGTGCTCAAATTGATAAGCGATATTAACGACGCGTTGTTTACAATATAACCGGCGCGCTTGCCGCTGAGCTGAGGGGCGTGATGATTAGACGCACACTAGAGGCAGTTTAGCCAATCACAACACACTGGGCTAGCTAACCAATCTGAGCCCATCGCGTATTTCTGAGGGAGGGGCTTCATAAAAGCAGGAAATGATCAGCGCGTTTATGGGAGAAGGGACAGAGTAGTGTAGAATAAAGGTAAATTATGTGAAAAATAATGCGTTTTTTTCTTTTTTTTAAACAAAGCATTAACACATGTTAGACTGCACCCCATAAACACAATCAAGCCTAGAAAAAAAAAACAGTCAACCATCCCTTTAAATATTTATGCTTTAATTGTAGTTATAGTTTTATTACACTTTTAGTTTTTGTTTATTTCCAGTTAATAATTTTAGTTCTTAAAATTAAACTTCTTTCAGTTAGTTGCTAAGGCAACAATTACATTTTTAACTAATGTTTGTTTTATTTTATTTCAGATTAATTTCAATTAGCAATAATGTTTTAGGTTTTGTTTTAGTTGCTTGTATGCTGTAAACACATGCCAAAATAATATTTTCACATGCTGCAGTTATGATTGATATATCAGTATCAGCCAGTGTTTATTTAAATTAATACGAAGCAGATAATGTACAGTGTGCTTTAATTTATTTGTTCATTTATTTATTTATTTTCTTCCTACAGTACTTTTTCTATGGCAGGTTTCTGTGTATTTTTTTAAAAAGCATCTTTTGTGCTCCATATTTTGACATCGATTAGGATTTGACGTGAAGCATTTACAATTTGATTGTGACAAATGTTTTTTTAATTATTTATTTATTAAAAATGTATAACCATATCTACATATCTCAATCAATTAAGATTAATCCATGCCTAGTATATTCCTCTCCTAACCATGTAGTGTCTTAGATAGATAGATAGATAGATAGATAGATAGATAGATAGATAGATAACCATTTCACTTAGAATCTAGAATTGTGTATGCTTTGCATGCATAACTTCATCACTCATTATTCTTATTATCAGTGACAATGTAAACAATTATTAATGCATCCTCAATATATTCCTTTGACCTGGTTATAAATCTTAATTTGCTTAGTATAAACTGTTGCTTTGATTCAGTCCCTATTTTGTTTAAAGCAACTGAGTGCAGATGGACAGTTTGTCCATATTCTCACAAATGTTGTTAGAACTGATTTCATTTACTATTAAATACACTGATTTCATGCTGCACTTCAATTAATTTTTCTCTTTGGCGTGCTGATGAATCAATGGTTTCTTGTTTTCTTCTCTCTATAATAAACCTCTTGACGTCTGATTCTCAGAATTTCTTTTCTGCATAGATTAAACACAGTGTTATATTCATTTAGTTTCTTTTCATCTTTACACGACATTTAACACAGACGCTGTTATTTGAGACGAGCTTGTCATAATTTGAGTTTTGATTGATATCAGATGTGTTGGTTTGTCTTTCAGAGTTAAAGAAGCTCTTAAAGGGGTCATATGATGCGATTTTAAGTTTTCCTTTCTCTTTGGAGTGTTACAAGCTGATTGTGCATAGATAAGATCCCTGAAGTTGCAAAGACTAAAGTCTCAAAACCAAAGAGATATACTTGATCAAAGTTAAGACTCTGCCACGCCCCCCTAAAACGGCTCGTTCTAACACGCCCCCACATAAGCAGAGTCAGATTGTGCAGAGGACTCATCTGGTTCCCTTTTGTAATGTTACAAAAGATTTCTATTTCAAACAAATGTTCTTTTGAACTTTCTATTCATCAAAGAAACCTGAAAAAATAGGTGTCCACAAAATATTGGACAGCACAAATATTTTCAACATTGATAACAATGGGAAATGTTTCTTGAGCAGCAAATCAGCATATTAGAATGATTTCTGAAGATCATGTGACACTGAAGACTGGAGTAATGATGCTGAAAATGCAGCTTTGATCACAGGAGTATATTACATTTGAACAGATATTCACGTCGAAAATTATTCTTTTGAATTATAATAATATATTTCACAACTTGTACTGTATTTTTGATCAAATAAATGCAGTCTTGGTGAGAGACTTTTTTCAAAAACATTGAACCATCTTATCGACCCTAAACTTTTCAAAGCTATCGTATTTGCTGAAATAAAAAGTGAAAGTGACGTGACATGTGGCCAAGTATGGTTACCCATCTGCTGCTTACCTGGGCGACGCTGAGATCATAGAGCTGCTCATCCTGTCAGGTATGAAGGGTCATTTCCACCCCAAATGCTCAGAATGAGCTGGGAGAACCCAAACCTCGAGTATAGTGACTGAAATATCAGCCAGATTTATTAATAGACCAATATTATGATAGAATTTGGGTTGATGGATAAATCTACGCTACCATTCAAAAGTTTAGGCTCAGTAAGATTTTTTAAAGTTTTTGAAAGAATGCTCTTATGCTCATCAAGGCTGCATTTATTTGATCAAAAATACAGTAAAAACAGTAAAAATTGTGAAATATTATCACAATTTAAAATAACTTTTGATTAGTTTAATGCATCCTTGCTGAATAAAAGTATTCATATCTTTAAAAAAAATATCTTACAGACCCCAAACTTTTGAACGATAGTGTACAACTATTTGTGTTTTCATCTAAACAAAATACATCAATCATTTAAATACAATAGAAACCACCTAGCAACACCTTAGCAACCACTAACGACAACACTGACATTGTGTATATAAAATATGTAACATAAATTAATTAAACTGCAAATAGGTTATATTTGTTGAGCACTACACCAATGACACACTTGACAAAACACACATCATGTGACGTCTTGAATTGGCCATGTGTAAAGGAGGAGGAGTTGTCATGAATGAAAGAGTAAAAGTAACAGGTGCTGCCGTATTTTAAGCAGCAGATGTGATCACAGAGCATTTTGGGGGTTTATTTTTAACAGGCTCACAGGAAGCTCCACGTGTCCTGCTTCAGCTGTGACATTAAAAGTATAATTCATTCACGCACACATCCTCCCTCTCTCTCTCTCTCTCTCTCTCTCTCTCTCTCTCTCTCTCTCTCTCAGGGGCACGAGTGAATGCCAAAGATAATAAATGGCTCACTCCTCTTCATCGGGCCGTAGCTTCCTGTAGTGAGGTACGACACGTCCTCCAGCGTCAGAACAACAGATATAAACAAATGAAATGGCTTTCAAGCTCATTAATGTGATTGTGTGTTCAGGAGGCTGTGCAGGTGCTGCTGAAACACTCGGCGGATGTGAATGCACGGGATAAGAACTGGCAGACGCCGCTGCATGTGGCCGTGTCCCATAAAGCCGTGCGCTGCGCAGAGGCGTTAGTCCCATTGCTAAGTAACGTCAACGTGTCGGACCGCGCCGGACGTACGGCTCTACACCACGCGGCCTTCAGCGGACACCTGGAGGTCAGGCGCTCAGTTTTTCAAGGTCTACAGATCAGCAGATGCTCAATATCTGCCCGTGCTGGATGTGAGACGTTTGCACAATATACTGTGTGTCATAGCAGAGTTCATGAGACCAGTTTACACCAGGAATGAAACGAAAAGTGAAATGAATTGCAAATGAACAACATATTAACACCAAGAATGCAACAAGAAAGTCTTTGTTCATATACTTTAATGCGAAATACAGAAAGCCGTTTAATAATATTAGTTTCACTTGTGTTAATGCATTGATATGGTCATTGTGTGATACAGGCCAAAACCACTAGTTAATTGCTTCTGTTTTGCATTTTTCTAGTCTCACAAATTGCAAAGTTTGGCGTCAGTAAGTTGTTTTTTTTTTTTTTTTAAAAAGAATACTTTTATTCATCAAGGATGCATTAAATTGATCAAAAGTGACATCCAACAGATATTAAATATATAATATAATCCAGTGGACTATGTTAAATGTATTAGACTGTATTATTGGCATAAAAGAACTGTTTGACATAATAATTAATCTACATTTAATAATTAATCTACACCAAGGCATTTATTTGATCAAAAATGAAGAGTAAAAAGATCAATATTGTGAAATATTTTTACAATTTAAAATCACTGTTTTCTATGTGATTATATTGTAAAATGTAATTTATTGCAGGTGAATGAGAAGGGCTTCTCCCCGCTGCACTTCACCGCTGCATCCCGCCAGGGGGCGCTCTGTCTTGAGCTGCTCATCGCCAACAGAGCCAACGTCAACAGCAAGGTCAGAGAGTCCTGCAAGAAAAACCCTCACCACCTCACAATGTCAATTAAAGTCTTTAAACTATATAATCAGACATGTATAGCCAGTAACACAAATGCCCTTACTACACACAAACATTCATAAAATTTCCTTTTTCAAAAACTTTGTGTTTATCTCTTGTCCAGAGTAAAGATGGTAAAACTCCTCTCCACATGGCAGCCATTCACGGGCGATACTCCAGATCACAGGCCATCATTCAGAACGGTGAGTGTGTTATTCTCTCCGTTTCTTGTTCATCTTCCTCTCCTGTCTCTCCTCATCCTCTCTTTCCTCATGTATAGGCGCAGAGATCGACAGCGAGGACGAGAACGGAAACTCTCCACTTCATATAGCGGCTCGTTACGGTCACGAGCTGCTCATCAACACTCTCATAACTAACGGTGCAGACACGGCAAAGTGAGTGACAGTATGAGTGTTTACAGCTACGCATAATTCATGAGCTCATGCTGATCATGTGACCGTGATTCCGCCTCTGTAGGCGGGGCATCCACGGTATGTTCCCGCTGCATCTGGCGGCTCTGAGCGGATTTTCAGACTGCTGCTGGAAACTGCTCTCCTCAGGTGAATCGCATTCATTGTGAAGATTTATTTATGTTTATAACAGCAGTTCAAATCGATTTCTGTGCATGATATCTGTGCATATTTTTCCCTCTCTCAGTAAAGTACCTTGGGCTTTTATCTGGTCTTGATAATGGATATCTGTTGGTTCAGGTTTTGATGTCGACACGCCGGATGACTTTGGCAGGACGTGTTTGCATGCTGCAGCTGCAGGAGGGTGAGTCACATCGCTGCTGCTCACTGATTGGCTCGTCAGCACCCCCTGTAGCCTGGATGATCTGTTGTCCTGATCATGTGACCGTCTCTCCTTCTTTTCTCCAGGAATCTGGAGTGTTTAAATCTGTTGCTCAACACAGGTGCGGACTTTAATAGGAAAGACAGATTTGGGAGGTGAGTTACATTAGATCATCAAACCTAAGTTAACTTCAAAATCAAAAGATACACTACTGTTCAAAAAGTTTATGGTTTTTGTAAATGCTTTTGAAAGAAGTCTCTTCGGCTTGCCAAGGCAGCATTTATTTGCTCAGAAATACAGTAAAAACAATAAAATTGTAAAAATATATAATTTAAAATAACAGTTTTCTGTTAATATATGTTAAAATGATGCCAGTGGTGGTTTTGTAGGCTAACATTAATGCCTTGAATTTTATGCGAGCAGCTATTGGTAGCCAGTGCAAATTGATAAACAGAGGTGTGATGTGCATTCTTTTCGGCTCGTTAAAAATTCTGGATTAATGGAACCACAAGCAGTTCTGTCTTGGCAAGGTTGAGTTGAAGGTGATGGTCCTTCATCCAGCAAGAAATGTGAGATGCGAGCAGCTATCGTCGGATCATCAGGATGGAATGAGAGATAGAGTTGAGTGTCATCAGCATAGCAGTGATATGAAAAGCCATGTTTCTGAATGACAACCTAGTGATGCCATGTAGACAGAGAAGAGAAGTGGTTCAAGAACTGAGCCCTGAGGCACCCCAGTAGTTAGATGTGTGTGTGTGTGTGTGTGTGTATATATATATATATATACACACACAAGTACTTTTTTTTTTCTTTTTGGGTTGAAATGTGACCCAGCCATGTTGTTGACAGGCTCCACACTTACAGTCATCTGGTGTCATTAAAGCAGTCTGCGATGTGTATTTTCCTACAGATCTCCAGCACAGATATTGAGAGCTGCAGTGATAAAGCAGCATTACAGGAATCCTGCAGCAGGAATATGGTTATGATTTATCTCTGTCTCTCTCAGGATGGTGCTGCATTACGCTGCTGCTAACTGTAACTATCAGTGTGTGTTTGCTCTGGTGGGCTCCGGGGCCAGTGTGAACGAGCGGGACGTCAGGGGCCGCAGTCCACTGCACTACACCGCTGCCGCAGACTCGGACGGCAAGTGAGTGAACACAAACACATTCAGCACACTGCACACATTCAAGGTCAAGTGGAGCGCACTGCATTGTGGGATACAGTATTTTCAGTAGTGTGTTCTAGTTGCACACATACTGTATCAGCAAATGCAGTAGGTCATGCGGGTATTTCAGGCATATAGAAATGTGTTTATTGTGCACAGATACTGCATACTACTTTATTTCATAAATAGAATACATTAGTGCCGCTCACTTTTTCCAGAAGTATTTTCACGATTATTCTAAAAATAAGTTTAAATAATGTGACTTGATTGCTTCAGCAAATGCATATACCATCGCTTAACACCCTCAGAGTTCACAGAGCTATCTTTAAAATCAATTTCTGTTAAGGACCATGTTTTGCATCATTGTTGTTGTTAACTAATACTATAAAAAAACAGTTTATTTAAGTGAAATAAAGCTGAAATAAGATATAAATATTAGATAAAAAAATTAAAATTAGAAATGCTGCCTTAGCAACTAACTGAAATAATTACATTTATGCTAAAGTACTGAATCTATGAAAAAAACGATTTGCTTACAATGATTGATTGTTGGAATTTTCTGAACAGCATCATGGGTAGTGTAGTTATTACCACAAATTCTGCTGTTAAACGCAATAAAAAAAAAAGTTGAAATAATGCAAACTGGTGGCTTTAACAAACTCATATACCATTGATTAACAAAGTCTGAGTTCACCGTAGGTTTGTCTTTACAGGCTTATGAGTTATCGTTAAAAATCAGTTTCACTGTGGATAAAATGAGTAGGGTTTTGAACACGTCTGTATTCTGTATAGTGTGCGTTTGACTCATTGATCTGATCGGTGTCTCTGTCAGGTGTCTGGAGTATCTGTTGAGGAATGATGCGAATCCAGCTCTCAGGGATAAAGACGGATACAGCGCCGTTCACTACGCCTCAGCGTACGGCCACCGAGTGTGTCTGGAGCTGGTCAGTACGTTACACACACACACCGTGAGCTTAAAACACTCCTCACTGCTGTGTTTGGTGCTCATCTCTGTGTTTTGTTTTACAGATCGCCAATGAAACACCGTTAGATGTGGTGAGTTGAAATCCGTTTGTTTCAACTGACAATCACAATGCAAAATCTGTCCAGTGCTGCCCTCTAATGGACTCATAAAGTCACTATGAGATCACAAATCAACTCTATTTACTGTATTGAGAAATGTTTCTGGTCTTATTATGTTTGTTTTATCAGTGCAAGAAGAGGAGAACATTTTCATAATCTTTCGTTATCTGTCAAACTGTAATAATTCTCTTTCCACCTCTGAAACCATTGTTCTGTTGACATAACCAAGCTTATGAGGGTGGAAAAATATTATTAATGAATGACAACATTTTATGATCCAATCTCATCTTGATAATTAAAATCAAGTCCTGCCCTTATTTCTCTGAATATTGAATAACTTGCATGCAATGCCATTTTATGTTCTCAAGTATAAACATTTTTTTTTTCACTTTATTCCTCTGATATATAATTGAATTTAAATGTGTGTATTTTCAGCTGACAGACACGTCTGCATCAAGCATCCTACATGACACAGACATCCAGCCTCCCATCAGCCCTTTACACCTAGCGGTGAGTAAGAGCTCCAGATCTCTGATTCTGTTCAATAATATTGGAATATTATATGGAATATTTCTAGTTCAGCTGAAGAGTTCTGCCATTTGTAAAACAATGAGTCATTCAAAACAGCATTAAACAAAACACTGTGTTGTTATTGTTAACTAAAACTGTTAAAAATTGTTTTTGGTAATTAAAATGAAGCTAAAATAAAATAAAGAAAAGAAAATATATTTTCATATATTTATATTTCATTATTTTTTAATTTTCTGTTAAGTTTTTCAAGTTCACATTTTTCATGTAAATCAGTATTTTATATTTTGTTTTGTTTCAGCTTTATTTGAATTGTCAAATTTTAGTAGTTTGTTTTAGTTAACAATAACAGCACTGATGCAGTACAACGTTTTTCATTATTTAATGCTGTATGGTTACTAAAACTCAAACTGAAATAATTCAAAACAAAGTTATATAGAAGTATTTAAAAAATAATAAAATGACAAGCACATGAACAAAATAATAAAACTTAAACTAAAACTCAAACAAGAAGCAAAAATATAAAAATAACATATAAAAAGCTAATAAAAAATATTAATAAACACTTTTAAAGCATTTAAATAATACTAAAATAACAGTGTATTACAGTGTACTATAGTCTTGTTAGGCATAATGTTCAAAAAATAAAAAAGGCACCTATGTTCATTAATAATCACATTAAACAAGTCTTCAACCAAATAATATGGTTTATTAGTCCAGTATAGATTCAATATGCAAGTCAAAGATTTGCTAGATTGCTTTAAAATGTGGCTCATCCAGTCAGATTTTAGAGTTAAAATCTGTTTTATAATATTTTATGTTGATTACAGTAATGACATTTGAAAACTGAAGTTATGTGTGTGTTTCCAGGCGTATCACGGTCACCATCACGCTCTGGAGGTTCTGGTGCAGTCTCTGCTGGATCTGGATGTGAGGACGCCGCAGGGTCACACGGCTCTCAGTCTGGCGGCGTTTAAGGGTCACGTGGAGTGTGTGGATATTCTGATCAATCAGGGCGCGTCCATGATGCTGAAGGACTACACACACAAGAGGAGCGCCGTACACTCCGCAGGTCAACCACACAAACACACTCTGCAGGCCAACCACACACTAAAGGCATCAGACACTAGACTCAGCCTTAGCCTGAACACTGCTGCATATTATACACAGTTGAATGGCTTTACCAGTTGCTGGATTTGTTGAGCTTTTGAATTGATTTGGAGTTGCTGAATTTATCTTTTTATATATATGTATATATTCAGGTTTGTTTGAGGCACTTAGTAGCTAATAAATGAGATTTCCATTAGCACACCTTTATGTTCACTATCACTGAAGTTTGTGGTCAGCAAGATTTTTTTTTTATGTTTTTTAAACAAAATTCTTATCTGCTTACCAAGGCTGCATTTATTTGTTAAAAATAGTAATATTGTAAAATATTTTTGCTATTCAAAATAACTGTTTTCTATGTGATTATCTGTTAAAATGTAATTTATTCCTGTGATCAAAGCTGAATTTTCAGCATCATTACTCCAGTCTTCAGTGTCACATGATCCTTCAGAAATCATTCTAATATGCTGATTTGCTGCTCAAGAAACATTTCTGATTATTATCAATCTTGAAAACAGTTGTGTGGCTTCATATTTTTGTTGAAACCGTGATACATTTCACAATAGAAAGTTCAAAAGAACAGTATTAATTTGAAATAGAAAGTTTTGTTACATTATAAATGTCTTTACTGTCAATTTGATGCATAAAATAATACAATTAAAGAATAAAAGTATGAATTTCTTTCAGAAATCAAAAAAAAATATGGCGGACCTCAAGCTGCTGTGTATATCCAATTTAACATTTACGTGCATATAATTGTCAAAATGCAAAAATACAAACTGTGCTTGCTCGCTCCTGTCCTTGATCCTGATCCTTCTGTCTAAATGGTCAGTTTTTGGTCAAAATACACTGGTTTATAATGCTTGTCTTGTATAGCCAGACTTGATGGTACGTGAAGATGTTAAATGAGATATTTGAGGTCAGATGAGATGATTTGATTGTGGGTTTTTGTGTCTGTCCATCTGTCTGCAGCCATGAACGGTCACTCTGAGTGTCTGCGTCTGCTCATCCACAGCAGTGACCAGCAGACGGCCGTCAGCATGCGTGATGGGAAGGGACAGTGAGTTACAGGACTTCTCTATCTCAGATGTATGGTCCATTGATTGTTGATCTGATCGTGTGTGTGTGTGTGGTCAGGACTCCTCTGATGTTGGCGGTTCTGGGTGGACACACAGATTGTGTGTATCTTCTGTTGAGTGAAGGAGCCGGTGTGGAGGCCAGCGATAAATGGGGCAGGACGGCCCTCCACCGCGGGGTCAGTCTCACACTCAGGCACCTGCCAGTTCATCTGCACTTTCACTTTACTCTCTATTTATCTTTTTCTAAATTAGATTTTCTGTACTTTCGTTTTAAAGGAATGGCTTCAATACAAGTTAAATTCCAACAATGCAATAATGCAATCATAATAAATCTTTGAAAATATTAAGCTTAATTAAAAATTTTGTAAAATATTAATATATATAATGGCAATACCTAATAAATAATTAACAAATATAGTAAACCAGGCCATGTGCTTTGAGAGTTTAACCTGTTCTGAACTTGGAACAGTATGTTTGTTTGTTTGTTTATATTTTTAATTTTATTTTTATTGATTGATTGACTGATTGAACAAAACCTGAATATTAAAACGAGTTGAAATTAGTTGGTAATCCATATTATGACACAAATGCTGCTTACAGCATGTTGTTTGTTTGTTTATATTTGTTATTCATTTATTTAATTTTTTATTTTTAGTTTATTTTTACTCATTTATTTAACAAAAACTGAGAGATAAGATAAATTTATTTTCTATGTTAATCCATTTTATGCCACACATGCTGCCAGCAGACTTGTCCTAAACCTGAAACATTCCTGTAAAGTTGTTCAGAGTCATTCTAAACTAAGCTCTTCTGTGTGTGTGTGTGTGTGTGTGTGTGTGTGTGTGTGTGTGAGACAGGCAGTGATGGGTCACCAGGGGTGTGTGGAGGCGCTGTTGCAGCACGGCTCCAGTCTGCTGGTTCAGGACAGCAGGGGGCGCTCTCCTATGCACCTGGCGGCTGCCTGCGGTCATGTGGGGGTCCTGAGGGCCCTTCTGAAGGCCCAGAAGACCGTCCTCGTCCTCAAGGACAACTGTGGTTACACACCGCTGCACTGGGCCTGTTATAACGGTACATGTGTGATGTTACCCTTACTGCAGGGATTAAAGTTCTCCGTCGCTACGACGGATTTCCGTTAATTGCAGTGAATCTACAACGGATTTCCGTCAATTGGAAAAAATTTGGGGAAAAGAAACATTTAGCAAAAATCATCCCCGCCACGGCTGCAGCTTCTCAGTGACAACATAGTGACTCCGCTCGCATCATTCACAGTCGGGGTATTAGCAGAGAACACAGAGCAGAACTTAAATTTCGGCGCGGGATTGCGGCTATTAATAACAATTGTACTCATTCCCGCAGGTTCCGCGCTTATAACGCGATGACAGATGATGGAATGTATCATTTGAATGTGCTTTTGAGTCTTGAGAACTCACTCGCACGCTCTCATTTTCTGTGCGCCCACAGATCGCGATAAGGAGAGTGACAACTTTTAATAGTTATTAAGGGAGTTTGCAAATGTGATTATTGATTTAATACAACAGTTCAATAAACAAGTACTGCCTGATTTTGCTCTATTTCTTCAACGAAAATAGTTCCAAATAAAGTAACAGCTCAGCTGCTGCGCATCTCTAAAAGCGAACACAGCGATGTTTAATTAATTCAATGAAAGTGCGTTTTTGAAAGAATCTAGTCAGTGATTCATGATTACCCATTCATAAAGACAGTCACTTGCTTAATTCCTGAATGAATCAGCTGTTCGAACGAATCAATGGAATGAATGATTCAGTGATAACATTTAGTTTAATTTTTAGTGTATAATTTCAGTTATTTAAATCATCTAATATTTATGTTTTCAAAATGTTATATTTAAAAGATTAATCTCCACATGAATGTATGAATTTAATTGCACTCAAGCCTCATTAAACGTCTGAAAATGTCACTTTTGTGTTCTTCTGTGCCACCTCTGTAGTACAAATTAATTTTTTATTAATACTAATTTCATATGATTGGTAACTTATTTGTCTTATTCTACTTATTATATTGTTTTAAATAGAAGTTTGAAAAAGCTTATAAACATACATTTTTGAATTTGACAGATGAAAATGATGCCATTATAAAGGTAAAAAGAAAATACCTCTCTAAGTCACTTTAAGGAGTCAAATGTCACCTCGTATTAGGAAGGATAATTTTTTATCAGAATTTTTGATTATTGATCAGAAGGTGCTCCTAAATTTTTTAAATTAGGACAAGCGCTCCTAAAAAGAAAAGTAAGCATAGAGCCATGTGTATCAGTATATTAGATCTGTGCATGAGGTCTTAAAGAGACAGCAGCCTAAATAAACCTCCTGCTGACTTTCATTATACAGTGAAGACTAACCAGTGTTATTTTACAGTTGAATAGATTATAGTTGGACCTAACTGAAAAAAATTTAAGTACTGTTAATTTAATTTGTATCTTGTTATTATTTTTGTTTGTGCTATTGATTGTAATTAGTTTATTTGTTCTTATTTTATTATTTACTATTTACTTGTCTTTTTTAGTTAAAATAAATTCAATTCTGAGTGCACATGATTCTTTGGTGGGCAGGGGGCGTGGTCCATGAGAAATAGTCCTGCCACCACAGCTGGAAAAAATCCTAGGAAACACTGCATACATTTAATAAAATTAGAAAAATGCCATTGCAAAGGTAAAAAGAAAATACCCCTGTAAGTCACTTTAAGGAGTCAAATGTCACCTCGTATTAGGAAGGCTAATTTTTGATCAGAATTTATTATTGTTCAGAAGGTGCTCCTAAATTTTTTAAAATAAGGAGGACAAGCGCTCCTAATTACACAAAAAAACTGCTCTTAAACTGGGTGTGACAGGTGTGGCTGTGGAATGGGGTTTGGCTGAGGAAAAATTCAGTCAAAATATTTTTTTTTGCTTTAACCCCTGTTACTGTCATCCGAGCAAAATAATGTGATGTACAGCTACACCGCCCTGCATTATACAGTATTTGCTCAGTGATATACTAGTGTCTTGCTAATTTTGTGAAATAGTGGCTGTTTTGCTGTAGCACGTCACAATTTCTGACAAAATATGTGCATTTTGTAGCATTTTTGCTTTTGACCACCATTTGTGCAGTTTAGAAATCTTGTATTCTTCCTTAATCAGCAGAAAAGCTGTCACGTACACATGATTCCTGTCTGAATCTGAGCACTATTTGTCCAATTCTCAGCCTATTTCACATGCAAGACATTATTTTATGTCTAATCCTGATTTCAAGGTCAGAATTATGGCCAGTGACAGAAGAACATGCAAACATGAGCCTGATGTTTTCTGCTGCATCTGTGTTTTACTACATACAAACAGCCACAGAAAATGACCGGTTTTGTGGCGAAAAAAAGCTAAAAAAAGTTGATACACAGGTATATTATAGTTAACTAAAACTGAAACTAAAACCATTAAAAAGAAAAAAACTAATTGTGACTTAATAGTGGCTGTTTTGCTGTAGCACGTCACAATTTCTGACAAAATATGTGCATTTTGTAGCATTTTTGCTTTTGACCACCATTTGTGCAGTTTAGAAATCTTGTATTCTTCCTTAATCAGCAGAAAAGCTGTCACGTACACATGATTCCTGTCTGAATCTGAGCACTATTTGTCCAATTCTCAGCCTATTTCACATGCAAGACATTATTTTATGTCTAATCCTGATTTCAAGGTCAGAATTATGGCCAGTGACAGAAGAACATGCAAACATGAGCCTGATGTTTTCTGCTGCATCTGTGTTTTACTACATATAAACAGCCACAGAAAATGACCGGTTTTGTGGCGAAAAAAAAAAACTGTTCAGTGATACACAGGTATATTATAGTTAACTAAAACTGAAACTAAAACCATTAAAAAGAAAAAAACTAATTGTGACTTGAAGGAAAATGAACATTAACTGAAATAAAATAATTTAAATGTATAAATATTTAAAATATTAATAAAAACGATAGTAAAAAAAAACTGTATGTGAACGTTTTTATTGATATATTTTGCATCATCAAATTAAGGAATAGTATACCTTTTTTGCAAATTAGCAGATTTGTTCAAGATGCCAGGCGGTAATAAATGAAGCATTATCATAGACCCTTCATGATGTGATGTATTTTTCTCTTATATGTTGATCTGTTCATCTCAGGTCATGATGCGTGTGTGGAGCTGCTGTTAGAGTACGATGTGTTTCACAGGCCGGAGGGAAACTCCTTCAGTCCGCTGCACTGCGCCGTGTAAGAAACACCTGCTCATATCATGTGCATATTAATCTTCATATTAAATGTTTGTATTAAACCAATACACACTGGAGAAAAAAAAGGGTGTAGTAGCAATTTTCACTCAGAAATTGCTAGTAAATTTCACAATTAATTAAAAAGAAACAGCAACTAGCACTGAATTAAATGAAAGACCGAAATAGTATTTACTTGTAAAACATACTCCAGTAATCTTTATTTACGTACAATGCATCTCTCTGGTCTCTCTGTTTCAGTATTAGTGATAATGAGTCTGCGGCTGAGATGCTGATAGAGACTTTAGGTCCTGCGGTTGTAAACGCCACCGACTCTCAGTCCAGGTGAGAACGGGGTTTCCTCATGGATCAGCTGTTTCAGTGCAGCACTGCTGATGTGTTTTGTGTGTCCCACAGGACTCCGCTTCACGCCGCGGCGTACACCGATCACGGGGAGTGTCTGCAGCTGCTGCTGGGTCACAACGCTCAGGTCAATGCCATCGACATGCTGGGAAAAACAGCGCTCATGATGGCCGCCGAGAACGGACAAACTAACGCCGTCGGTGAGACACGCGCATACAAAACACTAGCAGGGATCAGAACAACACGAGTAACAAATGCTTAAAAGTAACAAATAAAGTTCTATTTAAAGTTCTAACTGTCAAACGTTACAATGTAACAGAATTAGTTACTTTTATTTGAAGTAAAACTGCAATATAAAATGTTACTTTTGTAAATAATGTTTCTTAACCTTGCAAAACAGTATTTTTTAACGCTAAGGGTTTATTTTCAGTTTTCATTTTAGTTGTAGTTTTAGTTTTACTAATTATATGCTTTTGTCATTTCCATTTAGCTTTAATTTTTTACTTTCAGTTTTAGTTTTAATAATTTTATGTGCATTGATCATTGTTATTAGTTTGTTTTTTTAATTGGCTTTATTTTTATTTCAGTTTTAGTAATTTTATGTGCTTTTGTCATTTTTATTAGTTTTGTTTTTTTTATATTTATCTTTATTTTTATTCCAGTTTTAGTTTTATTCATTTTGTCATTTTGTCTTTTTTATTAGTTTTGTTTTGTATATTTATGTTTAGCTTTAGTTTTAGTAATTTATGTGCTTTTGTAATTTTTATTATTTTTTCATTCCTATTTAGCTTTATTTTTATGTCAATTTTAGTTATAGTATAGTACTTCAGCTTATTTTCAGTTAGTGGCCAAGGCAAAATTTCTACATTTTTAAGTTTGTTTTTTATCTAATATTTATGATTTAATTAATTTCAGTCATTTTTAATAGTTTTCATATTAATAAACAATATCAACACTGGTATTAATACAGACTTCTGGCGTGTTATTGCGTTGCTGTGGCTCAAGGTGGCACTAGTTTCCTTCAGATGTCTGTCATTACAGCAGATGTGTTGTTGTGATCATGTTAATCATGATATTAATGTGAGGTGCTGATTGTGTTTGTCAGAGGTGCTGGTGAGCAGCGCTAAAGCTGATATGACATTACAGGACGCTCACAGAAACACAGCCCTGCATCTGGCCTGCAGTAAGGTACCAAACACACGCTCACGTACTGATTTACATCAAACACGACATCTACTGTACATCAGTGCAGCCCTGCAGCCAGACAAACTACAGGAACTCAGAAACAAGCATGTAAAGAGCATAAAACCAATTCCTCCTGCTGCTCGGTGGATAAAAGATCCTCAGTTTCAGTGACAAACCTGTAGTCCAAAGCTTTCAGAGCCAAATATAAATAAATATTTTCATATTTTTTATTTATTTGCATGTATTCATATAGTATATGAATCTCAGTATCTCTTTTACAGTCTTGTGTGCACAGGTATTTCCATCAGGTAATGCAAATCTAGTAATTTTCAAAGTTTGTGTGTTGCAGGGACATGAAACCAGTGCCTTGTTAATTCTTGAGAAGGTGACGGACAGAAACCTCATAAACTGCACAAATGCCGCGCTGCAGACGTGAGTCCTGTATACAGTATCTTGCTCATTTGTTGTCCTCTTTATCTCAGTTTTATAGATTATAGAGAGATGTTTTTATCTTTGTCTCAGGCCGCTGCACGTCGCTGCTCGTCACGGACTGACGGTGCTCGTACAGGAGCTGCTGGGTAAAGGAGCCAGTGTCCTCGCCGTGGATGAGAACGGTGAGCGTTTAAAATCACAGCCTGTAGCATAAACAGCTGGTTTTGCTTCAAAGCAGAAATATTATATTATAGCTAACCAAAGCTAAAACTAAAACCATGAAAAAAAAAAAGTTAACTCAAATCAAATATAAAAATCTTATTTCTCAAAATGATTTTTTCTTTTCAATTTCATTTTATTTTTACTAAAATAACAACTGAAATAAAAAAGAAAAAAGACAGAAATAAAATAACTAATAAAAAATGACAAACACAAAATTACAAAAATTTAAATTTAAAATGAAAAAGGAAAACAAAAATACAACCAAATTCAAAATATTAATAGAAAGTATAATACCATCTCTATTATACTAAAATAACACCGCAAAATACAAAACTAAAATAAAAAAAACAATGAAGCTTTTCAATTGAAATCTATATTGAAGAAACATCACTATCAATATGAAAAAGCAGTTGCAGCACAGGTCCAAGCTCACCTTAGTAATAAAAACTTATATGAGTGTTTTCAGTCAGGATTTCGTCCCAAGCATAGTACCGAAACCGCCTTGGTGAGAGTAACAAATGATCTGTTAATGGCTGCTGATGGTGGGTCCTTATCTATTCTTGTTTTGCTTGATTTGAGTTCAGCTTTTGATACCATTTCACACAATATTTTGTTAAACCGTTTATCTGCTATTGGTATCTCTGGTATTCCTCTCGCCTGGTTTACTTCATACCTTTCCAATCGTACACAGTTCGTACAATTAAAAAGTTTTCATTCCCAGCTTTTTTCTGTTAGCTGTGGCGTCCCCCAAGGTTCTGTCCTAGGTCCTCTGTTGTTCCTAATCTATCTTCTCCCACTTGGTAATATCTTTTCTAAATTTGGTATTAAATTTCACTGTTACGCTGATGATACACAACTTTATGTATCTACTAAGCCTGATTCCATTCTTCCACCTATCTGCCTTATCGTTTAACCACCATAGGTCATAGAGCCTCTAGCCGTGCTGCTCCTCGCCTTTGGAATTCTCTCTCAGCTAACATCCGCAACTTAGATTCGTTATCCCAATTCAAAGCTAAACTCAAAACTCACTTATTCAGAATAGCTTATCCTACATGATTACTGTCTACACAAATATTTAACTGCTCCTTTTCTTTTTATGGTTCATTGATATTGCTATTTATTGTTATTTATTGCTGTTTTATTTATTGTTCATGATGTACGGTGACCTTGAGTGATTTGAAAGGCGCCTTAAATAAAATGTATTATTATTATTTACCTCAAGGCACAGAAATACATTACAGTTTAACAGAGATTCACATAGAAAACAGCTGTTTTAAATTAGAATAATATTTCACAATGGTACGTTTTTTTTTTTTTTTTTGTATTTTTGATCAAATAAATGCAGCCTTGATGAACAGAAGAGACTTTTTTCAAAAGCAATTAAAAATGTTTCTTGATTTTCGTTTCACATGCCTAAACATTTATTAATTTAATAACTTAATTAGTAAAATAATTTTATTTATAATAATTTAATGTTTCCAGGTTACACTCCAGCTTTGGTTTGTTAAATACATGCACGTACTGTTCCTAATTTTTATTTAGTAATATACAGTACCTCACAGAAGTGAGTACACCCCTCACATTTTTGTAAATATTTTATTATATCTTTTCATGTGACAACACTGAAGAAATGACACTTTGCTACAATGTAAAGTAGTG